TTAAATTTTCATACAGCCATAAATAAAGTACGCAGCTGCAGAGTGCATACAAAAGTATAGCCGCGCGCACGTTATTTTCTTTTTTATACACCTCGGAAAGTAATAAAGCCGACGATTGTTGAAAGCAATAAAGAATTTCGATGATTACGATTAATCAAAAGCGGCATTAGTTGTGCATTTCTGAAATTGCGTTCGAAGTACTGAACTGAAATAGAGCTAGATAACCTATCTGTAATGATCAGAGGAATGAATGGAATGTATGGAATGGTAGTAGTGAAATTATTCGAAACTGCAACATCAGAGATACATTCTCTTGCCCTTTATTGTGGGCACATTTCGAAATTATCGATTGTCTTTTCGTCACATCGCGTGCAATCATGAACTCTTTTCGCGAGAAAGAAAAACAGAAATGGGACACAAGGGACTTTCTTGTGCGTCAACTTGGTCTTTTGAGAAGTACGGAAATCCTGACGACTGCCGAGCGAGAAAATCCGATAGCTCGAAAAGTAGAAAAGCCGTGGTTTTTCGCCTTCGAATGATGTTTTCCACTCCGGGTGATGGAGCACCGTGTCGCATTTCGCGCCCACCCTTGAGGGAAAAGGGTACCACCGCTGTGACGGGAGAAAGAATATTGTTGTCAAATAGAATTGGTCGTTCGGGATTTTTAATCTTGGCCATTGCTGTCGACTATATCATGCCAATTTATTAGAATACTCAATGTGAAATGATTTTAATGCTTTTACCAATATTGAATTGGATGCTGTAGCTTTCCACGGATTGGAAAAAATTTCGAAGTTAAATATTTCCATAATGTAATGAAAAAGTTTGTAATATTGTAATACAGACAATTATATTTATATGAATATCTATGGATAATATATTTAAAGTCATGATTCTGTTAAAAGAAAATTTGATTCAAATTAGATGAGCGAGACATTCTGAGGCCGGACTACGCGCGCATTGAAGATTGAGATTGAAGATTGAAATTTTACCTATGAGGATAAAGAAATTTTACCTCCTTTTGTTTTAATTGGTCAGATTTCAATCTTTCAATCTTTAATCTCAATTTTCAATACGTAGTCTACTGATACTGGCCTGATGAAAAATTCTTTTTTTTCGCCATTTTTTTTAAGAAATTACATTTTACTTTTGCACGAGAGACATTGTTAATATAGTAAATATATATAATATATATACAGTGTCCCGTAAGTTTTTACCAACCGCTTTTGTGTAGAGCGGACTAAACTGAGTCGAAAAGTCCTCTACCATTCTGCAATTTTCGCAATGGTTATTAATTACTAAAAATTGCCAAATATAGTTGATAGCATTTCAGTAAAAAATTATTGAACACCAATATTTAGTGATTTTTAGTAATTAATAACCATTGCGAAAATTGCAGAATGGTAGAGGACTTTTCGACTCAGTTTAGTCCGCTCTACACAAAAGCGGTTGGCAAAAACTTACGGGATACCCTGTATATATAAATCAACATTAGTACGACATTATATTTATTATAATGTATCTAATGTTGATTGACGTTAATTAATGATCAACAAGCAGTTTCGATTTCGTATACCAAAATATATCTCGTAATTTTTTCCCTCACGAGATTCCACCGCCGGTTGCATTTTTTCCTAATAGCATGAGATCGTATCTTATCCTTCCTCATATCAGTGTCACCCGTAATGTACCGTCATCTATTTTCAAAGAGAAATCAGGGCGCGCTATATCGTACGCTAGAGTGGAGCCGGACGATAACGCGCGGGCAGCCAGTAACAACAACAGAGGACAAGAGAGAGTGAGAGAGGGGGGTGAAAGGAAGAGGGAATTACAGGCAGGGGGTTGGAATTACGACTGCATATTAAACATAGGCGCTCATGGTATGAATAGACGGAGAGCACGACCTACCTTTAGCATTGTTTTACATCGAAGCACGCGAAAGACAAGAAGGAGAGGACGGAAGCAATATTCCAGACTTCTTAGCACGGAATACATAAATACTCATCTTTCGTATATAATAATATACACGAGGAAAAGATGAGTATAAGAGAGTTTTATGATAATAGAACAAATCGAGTGAATGTATTGTGAATGAAATACATGTCTGAGAAAATAATAAATGCACGCTATACGAAATATGGAAATGTACAGAAGAATAATAATAGCAATAAGCAATGAATTGTTTTTAAACGATTAATTTTATGTTATAATTTATTTTTAATAAATTATATTAAATATATTTATATGTATATGACAAAAATATATGCTGCATCAATCAACTTGTTTTTGTTTAAAGAATATTTAATGTGGAGTGTAATTACACACAGATATAAAACAGCAGAATATGAATATATTATTATAATTTTTATTTGTTTTACTGATTTTACAAAAAAAATATGAAATGAAAATAAGGTTTACAGATTGTTAAAATTCAGCTTTTGTTTTGTAATTACTGACAATAAAGCACCGTGTGTCAACTCGATTTTTCTTTTTCGCTTCAAATTGGCAATTACAGAAGTTTTCTTCTTTAATCTCACTCTCGCTGTATCATAACAAATTCCGCTTTGGGCAAAGTTGCGCGATCAAATCTGCATTCGCGTAGAACCATACGCGTGTTTATTCATGTAGTCTGGCAAATTTACCAATTAATTAATCAACAGATTAATCAAACTGAGTTACCGAAAACATGCAGAACGAGCCAGGATCTGAAATCTCCGCCGTATTATCGGCGATAATAAAGGCCGATAATTACTTTTTAATAGACGAGTTACTATAATAAAGATTGCGCCAAAACAATCGAATGAGTTGCCATCGCAGGTCGATAAGTCCTCTAACTCATTAAACACGACTATTCAGAAGCGCCCCCAACACATAAACTCGAATTAGTTTCGGTCGGCGTGGTGTAGAGTAACTGACGTAGTTTGATCCGACGAAGTTCCAATAATGTAGTGATTTCCCCGACAACGTATCGGATTCGGCTGCATCTCTCGTTAATGTTATTACCATCCGTTTGTACAAATGAACTCATAGCTATATTAATATCACTTTGATGGAACACAATTTTCTACACTATTTTAAAAAATGGCACATTATTTCTTTTTTATCTGCAGAAAACCGATTTTTCTGTGTTCCTTTTCTTTTAAATTTTTTAAATATTAATTAGATTTTTATATTTTCTACATTATTCAACAAGAAGCTTGTGTCTTTGTATGTTAAAATATTGATTATTAAATATTAATTAACTTTTTTTCAAAATTGAGTATAATGCTTCATTTACTTTTATACAAAAAGGCGACAAAAGAACTAAACTATGTAATAAAATTGTCGACATTATGATATAGACATAGTGACATTATGATATGACATAGTGATATCTCAATAAAAATTGACAATAGAATTATAATACTATCAAGTAAGCTCATTTTTAGTACTATCATATATAGCGTTATTAATTCTCCATATCTTCAAGAACTTCCTTTTCATTTCATCGAGCACGGGTCATAACTTTCGGAAAGTATACAATATACTGCTGGTATTATTACATTTTTCCAGGTTGCCTTGCGATAAATTTTATAGTTTACGGTGTTAATGGCCCCGCGTGATATTAGCTAGGAACTTGAAGGCGAGGTCAAGCGAAAGATCTTGTGAAAAATTCGCATCTCTATACATCGCACTTAAATTATTTTTCTTTACTCACAAGAAGGAGAAAACACACATAATTAATTTTTTATTTAAATCTATCCTCATGTTTTTTTGTTATTCTGTGGAAAAGAATTGGCTAATAAAATATTTTTCATACATTTTAATTATGATGTAGTAGTAATAGTAGTAGTAATAGGAGGAGGATAAGTGGGACTATATCAGTCCTTATATGTCTGAACCTACTCAAAAAGTCACCTAGGTCTAAAAAATTCTTCTGTGAAAGCCAATACAAAATTATCCATATATAAGATGCATGGTTTGAACTTGCGACCTCGGTTACGAATTTATGATCGTCGTTCTCTCACACGGAGCCACCGGTATCCACATTTATGACGTAATTAAATCTGAATCTAAATATGCAAAAATAATATTTTATCAACGGGTTCTGCTACTCCTTTTTATAGAAATTTTAAACATATTTCACATGTCTTTTTCATATTTTATATGTTTGTGTCACAGAAATATTCTCTCCTTCTAGCGAATCAAAATTGAGAATAATTGATTAAAGAAGAAATCAATATTATGACATGTTAATAAATTATAGAATGTAATGTAATTAGTCAATAGGTCAGAGTATCGAAATAAATTTTAATAAATGTATATTCCCTATACCTAATTATAAATAAAGTAATTCACGGTATAATTAAATTATGTATATGATTAATTTTATGATAAAGCTTTATATGTAAAAAACTGATAACTATATTGATATTAATTGTTAATAAATTAATTACACAGGCCTGCAAAATTGGAGGTATTGAAAGTTGATTGGGATTTAACAATATTTTCTTACGTAATTTTTTGCGCTGAATCCGAATCCGGCTGCAGAATTGCTCTATCACGTCAAAATTTCGAGATATCCTAAAATTGTCAAAAAAGCCGTTTTCAACCATATTTTAAATTAAATTAAAAATTAAGAAAATTTTTATTGTCAAATCCATCAATGGTATCATTTACTACTATACGACCCTTTCAAAATCCATTTTGAACCATCTCAAAGCGATTTTTTCTTTCGGAGATATACTTATTCAAAGTTCAATGATATTGACAACAAAAATTTTCTTAATTTTTAATTTAATTTAAAATATGGTTGAAAACGGCTTTTTTGACAATTTTAGGATATCTCGAAATTTTGACGTAACAGAGCAATTCTGCAGCCGAATTCGGATTCAGCGCAAAAAATTATGTAAGAAAACATTATTAAATCCCAATCAACCCATGCAGGCCTGTGTTATTAATTAATAGATTCCTCATAGCAAGAAACTTTCTTAACGTTTCTGAACATTTCTGTTGCACAGGTATTATCGTCCGAGGGGACGGTCGCGAAGCGCTGCGAGGGTGATGCTCCTAGTGAGCGGAAGTGAGGAGCCCCAGGCGGCTTTTCTCCCTTCGTGCTCATTCAGGGAGGAGAAGAACTGTAACAGGGTCGGTCCCTGGCCTGAGGGCTGCAGCTGCAGCTGAAACTGGAAGCGGCCAGCAGGGAGGAGTGCCTCGTGGTGCACGGTGGTGCTCCTCTAACGGCGGCTAGAAGGGAGTTATGGTGTCTCGCGCATGCAATGCCTGTGGCCGCCGCAGCCGTGGCACTGTGGCATCGTGCCCATCTCAAGGTGCTCGCCTGCGTCGTCCTCGCGCTGATCGCCGTCCAGTATCTGCTTAGCGGCGGTGTGCTCGATCGTCGATCCATCGAGACTATCTTTACGATCAACACGACCAGGTAAGTGTCGTCTGTCTGCTTTATTCATCCGGCTTTGGCTTTTTTATTAGGCACCAGTGTTGTTGCACGAATCGGCTCTTCGGAGCTTTTTATTATTTAACAAATTATAAAAAGACATTACATATTATTTGAGCATAAAACACGAAATATTTAGATATTAAGAATTGGATGTCGAATTTTTTTCTTCTAAATATTCTAGGTCGAATATCGAATTAAATATTGAATATCTAACTTTTAGACGTTGAATTTTTAAATGAACTTTAGATAATTATAACTAAATTATTGCTTACGAATTACATTATTTTATACGTTTGAAAATATCTCGTAAATTTGAAACTTTTGTCATTTATGTGAAAATCATTTATTAATCTACTAACTCGAATTGGTAAGCTAAGCCATTTGGAACGTTTGGCAGACATATCGAGTTTCCGACTTGCTATATATCTCTTGCAATAAATCTACGCTCTGCATCTTCGGCGAAGCGTTAAGTACCAATTCTAGCTCCATGCGAATCTCGCAAAGCGCATCTTGGAAGTTACTCGGCGTGCATCCCGACTCTCTGCGGATTCCACAGCTTAAATTCCATCATTGCGAGCGTGCATTATCACGACGACAGGAGATGCAATGTGTCCCGGTAATTCCGCGTTAATCGCGGGTGTTGGATTCCCGGCTTAATAATCGGCCGACTCGTCGTTATTCGTCGCCTCGCTCGCGTGAATTTCGCGTTGGCATTATTGTTGTATTGTTAATAGGGGTGCGAATCCGTGAGCGTACACAAACGACAGACTACTGCCTTCCCTCTGTACTGTGCACTGTTGACGTAAACTTTCCTCGGGCGAAGTTTCGCAAGAGATTTCGCAGAAGATTTCTTGTCCGCGATAATTGAGTTGGATTTGTAGTCAATGGTACTGTTGCACTGTTAACGATTTTAGACAGATTGTTCCCGAATAATTACACAGAAAGCTGTTAGCTCAATTCATCTCTCAGCGAACCTTTTTCTTCATCTTTGTGACTATCAGTATATTTAATATCCAATGAAGTTAAAAACTATTAAAATGATTCAACGACGTATGACAAATAAATGAGGTATCAAAATAAATACACTTTATTTATTAAAATAGAACGATGGCATGGAATTTGTAAGAAGGCACGTATAATTTAATGCTATTTAAATGTATCCACTTAATACCGATTAAAATTACACACTCATTATTAGCTGAAATAATTATTACAATTTATCAACACACAAAATTCTTGTTTCATGTGAGCTATAAAAAGATTAATATATTTACTGGCTACACAATCATTAATTTTATACAGCATTGTGCTATAATTTTAATGTTATTTAGCTCTAGTTTGAGCTGTATATCATGTACAGTCAATCATTTTTTCATATATATGTATAAAATTTTCAAAATTAAGAGGAAACATTAAATAATTTATGATTTTTACGAAAAATATAAAGCTTTTTCAAAAATCAATCCTTTTAAAAAGAGATTTGCATTTTTCAACGCCTCAATAATTATTTGGCGTTTTTCACAATGCGTTGAGAGGAAAGCGTTTTGAATAAAATTGAATAATGACACGAACTGAAAATACAGCTTCCAAAACGGCCGAGTAAAAAAGTGGATCAAATCACTCTCTCGTTCAACCGGTTCCATTTATCTGCGGTGGAATTTAATCGTTGAATTGTCCACCAATGTAATAATTGCCGTTCTGCGGATTGTTTAGCCGATCAATAATTGAAGGATGGATACAAAACACGAATTATGATTAAATTCTGCAGCAATGTTTTTTGTGTGCAGTATAATAGTGCATCGCTTATTATAATTATTATTATTATCACAAAACTGACTGTAACGTGATTTTCAGCGTTGCGATGAATACTTTGAGCGTGTGCATCCAACTACGTTAAGTAACATTGATGCCAGATACATGTAACGAACCGCGTAATCACATTCGCCTCGCTGCAAAATTATCCGTGACCCTCCTCTCTCCTTTCTCCCTTAAAACCACATTAATAATTCACAGCCATCGGCTATCATCTCAATCGCTAGTCATCCCAATTTTGATGTATTTACTGAAACGTGTAAACTTGCCTCGCTACAAAAAATTTATTCTGTCGAGAAACGGGATATTATTGAGTTTGATCTAAGTTACGAATTCTACATTCAGAGGGAAGAAAGGATGAATTTTAAATTCAGAATATCTCGTCACTATTTTATCGCTATTTCCCAGAACCGTTCAGGCTCTCTTTACAGTAAGATTATTATTGAATAAAATCAATTTTAAATTTTAAATAATTATAAAATTCTAAACTCTCTTATATGGTTACTCGATACGAATTTTTTCTCTGTTCCATGCTTGAGAACGTTGAACCATGCTTTAAATTTGTATTTTGTACAAAGGAATGAAAGTACACTTCATACAGTTCTTCATAGCGTTTTATATACGGCATGTTTAGGCAAGTATATAGCTTAGGATCAGTTCATATCCTTTGGAGTTCATGGCAGATACATAGGAAATCTCATTATCTGACTATGTAACGGGACAAAGTGGCTGCTTAACGATGATACTGGTACACGCGCGATTTACGAAGCCTTTCGTAATGGGAAATAATCGGTCGTTCGCCATATAGATATCGATCGAGTGAGCGCGAAGGCTTGAAATCTAACGGTGATTTTGCAAACAAAATCTCACAAAACCTTAAACTAAATTTCAAATGAAAAAATTAAAATTTCGTAGTATTTTCTTAGGAGTAATTTTTAACGTAAAGATACATGATTGAGGGGTCTCGTCGCTTCGTTTATCTTAGCGCCGAGACACTATCGTGTCTTCTGATATCAATGAAAATATTTATTTTGTGAAATCCTTTCAGTTTTAATTTTCTACAACAGAAATAATTGTCCCAAGATTTTACAATTATATAGTATAATAAAGAAAGATTTGTCTACGCGCGCACGCGCGCGAGTTTATTTAAAAAATTTAAATTAAGGTTATGCTATATTTTTTTTTTGCCACATAGCCATATTAAATAGTTGTTTTTTGCAGAATAATAAATATCTGTCCAAAATTGTTGTATGTGAAAAATGTTGGGGAATTTCGTACGACTTTTCTCGTGACTGTTTTCGTTTTGCTGCCGTTTCTAATCTCTGCAATTAGGCGCTTTTGGCGCGCGCTGCAGCGACTGTAATGAAAGGCGCGTCTCGCCTTCGTGTTGCAGCGGCCGCGCCGTTATTATTACAAAGCGACACGCCAACGAACGTGCGATGAGAAAATGCGGAGGTGGCTGTTGCTCACGTTTCGCCAGCATAACGCGTAACCTTAACAGATCAAGACTGAGGCCCGGTTCTCAAAAGGAAAACGTGCTCCTTACTCGCGCACAATGTTGATGACGAAACTCTATTTAGCCTTATCACCTGGAGGTTTCTTTCTTACGTAACTTTGAAGTTTTACATTAAAAAAGGACAAACTACAAAAAAATGTGTCCATTGGAGCTTCCGAAATAATGTTTGATAACTTTATAGTTTATAATTTAGCGCCTTTCTCTCTATATTCACTCTCTGTATTTGTTGCTTGAGTAATTATTTTTGAATAATTATTTAATTCATTTTTCTTGATTTTTGTTTAAAGTATAATTATTTTCTTAGTATAGGATATCTTCAAGCGGTTTGAAAATTACGGATTGATTTCTTTCTAATAAAAGTATGATGACGTACATCTATTTGCAGAATTACCAAGCTTTTTTGCTTCTATATTATTTTATTAAAAGATAACGGTAAACTCGTGACACATATAATAAGAAAGAAACAAATTTATAATCCGTTATTTCTGAGTTTCTCGAATTGGCTGAATAAAAGAGGCTGATCAAGATAAATATATATTTTTACACATCATAAAATCGTGCCCAATACAGCGGTGGATGGTTTTAAACATTGTCATAAACATTGTTGAAAATTGCATTTGATTAGCACAAACTAATGATAATATCTGGTAACATTATGATTGTAGTCTGTATACAATGCTCAAAAGCTGAGTTATTACATTAAAATTTCGTCGTCACTCTAGCCACGATAATTTGTCACCCTTTGTCGCAACTGGCACAGTTGCATCGGGTTATAGCTATGCGATGACGCAGTATGCATTATGCCGACACAAAACGATAAGTTGTAATAATGACACGTGACATTTTCGCCGATTATCTCATGTGCTGGTTGTATTTCACAATTCTTACGCTATTGATATCGTCGGCAGTAATTAAAATGTCACCAAAGGAAAAAGGGAGGTTGATAATTTCACCTGTCAACTGAGACTATCGCCATATAATATTTGTAATTATAGAATAATAGCACAATTTAGTTATCTTGTGGCCTCGTTATATATCATATATAAACGTAATTACGAGCATAATTATATCTCGATTATTGTTTATCGCGAAATTTTTCACTTCTTTTATTTTATAACTAAAGAAGATGAAGAAACTTCGTTTTCAGAAGTTACAATTTTTTATCGTTAAATATAATCAACAAAAATTGAATTGAATTTTTTGGAATTAGGAAAGAGAAATGGAGTTGATATATTCTAGCTCCCGGGTGTGCATCATAGGATTAGAACGCCGAGCTGTGATTGACTGGTTTATTTCGTGACGCGATGCGTAGCCGCGAGGATAAATTATAGATTGGATTTCGCGATTGCGAGCACATGCGATCGAACACGGGACACTGTCGCAATCGTTACTACAAATCACGCTGCTAGATGTTGTTCCGGTACCACGTCACATTAACAGGCTATATCATTACACTGTGATGCTACTGCCCGATGCGATCTGTCTTATCAGATCGTATTAATGACTCACGGCGAGGCGTTTTATTAAAGCTTCTCGTTTATTTAAATTAGAGCATTTATTTATATTTAACAAAAAAATTGAATTTGATATGTATTTGATTTTATGTTAAAGATATAATTATTATTCGCGTATTAAGATTTATACGTTCAATTAA